ACAAGATCATAGAAAAATCTCACTTGTAAGTAATCTTTAATACACAGGATTTTTATCACAGATGTTTGCATTTTTCTTACCAACAGTACCCTGTGTACTTGCCATGCTGGACAAATACAAGTTCTGATGAATTTGCACCCTGGTGTCATAGAAACAGTGGAAATCAAAGATTAAAATAGAGCTCGATAGTGACCAGGTTTCCTAGGCCAAATTAAAGCATAGTGCTAAGGCAATTATTCAGGTAATTCAGACTCAAATGTGTTTTATGAAAATGGAGCTGACATTTATCGAACACTTATTATGTGCCAATCTGTATGCTAAACATTCTGTGTGTTCTGTTGACTAACCTTAAAAGTATCTCTGTGAACCACATGTGTTATTATCCGGACTTTATAGGTGAGGCTGTTGAGACTTGGAAAGATTAAGCAACTTGTCCAGTTATAAGTGAAAGAAACCTAACTGAAACTTTAATTTTGAAGCTAAAATTTGTGCTTTCTTCCTCTGGTCAGTATTACCAATCATACCTTTGCCAGAGGTATTTGGCATGTTACTTTTCCACTTTGTGGGTAAAATCTTGACTATAATGGAACAAAATGAGATGCCATAGAGTAGTATGTAAAAACAGTGTTTACCTTTGCCCAAGAAGATGTGCTACACTTTTGGTCAGAATGACAAAAGTGAAATACCAGTATTTTAGGAAGACCAGCAAGGCCAAAGAGCAACAACCTACCAACAAACAAAACCAGCTTAGCTTATGCTTCTGAAACCTGGAGCTTATAGTAAGGTCCAAATGGTATGGAATACTAATTGTGGTTGACCTACTAGAATTTTCTTGAACAGAAGTTGGAAGTTTTATAGACTTCAAGAATCTTTTATTTTTATTTTTTTAATTTATTTATTTTTAGAGAGGGAGAAAAATATCAATGTGTGGTTGCCTCTCGAGTACCCCCTACTGGGAGCTTGGCCTGCAACCCAGGCATGTGCCCTAGACTGGGAATCGAACCAGCAAACCTTTGGTTTGCAGGCTGGTACTTGATCCACTGAGCCATACCAAACAGAAGTTATTTCTACTTGTTTTGTTGTTTGTTTGTTTTTTTTGGGTTTTGGGTTTTTTTTTCTGATAAGGCTTTCTCATATGTATTTAATCTGGATAATAATAGCTTAGGGAGCACAATATGAACAATCTTCCATAGGGAGCTGTATCAGACCTCATATTTATCCAGCTTCTTAAAGCCTGGCTTAACAGAATGCTCCAAACTGAAACAGAGAAGCTGCAGTTTACTCTGAAAACATGCTTTGTCTAAGAATTAAAAACTTCTCGCTGTGTAGATTTATGCATGCTTCGACCCTAGGTAGACTAGCGTGAGTCATTATTTTTGTGGAAGAGTTTTGTAGATGACTTGTAAGTATATTAAAGGAATTATTTTTTATCTCCAAAGCATATTAAAATGTTCTAAGAATTCAGAAATACTACTTACTTCTATTCACAAGGAAGAGATCTGAGAATGATAATTTTAGTACCACTGACTGTTATGCCCCCATAGTCCAAGTCTCTGTAAACTCCTACTTGTGAAACTGTTCACTTAATTTCAGGAACGTGGCTTCTGAGTAGAATATAGTAAGTACACAACTTTGAAAAGTAATGAACAGTTCTGTCTGGTAGTTTTAATTGTATTAGTGTCAACACTTCATTTCCCAGTGGTGGCTAGAATTGGAGCAGCAGATATAGCAGATAATCCTGGAACTTCATGTTAGGTAAACTTTAAACCTCCTAAACTTTTTTTAAAATTCTCACCCATGGATATGTTTTTATTAATTTCAGGGAGAGAGGAAGGCAGAGGGAAAGAGATAGAGAAACATGGGTCAGTTGCTTCCTATACGCGCCCTGACTGGGACCCATCCCACAGCCTAGGTATGTGCCCTGACCAGGAATCAAACCTGTAATCTTTTGGTCTACAGGACGGTGCTCCAACCAACTGAGCCCCTGGCTGGGGCGAAACCTCCCAAACTTGGTATCAGTCACTGTACTGATTGGCTCTCATTCCGGTTAGTAACTGAGCTGGAGTAGAAGGCAGGGTAGTGAGAACTGAGGCAGTCATGGAGCTTTGTGGTCTGCCTGGTCAGTGCTACTGAGTCTCAGGAAGAGGAGATTGCAGGCAATTTTTGAGGTGTGTTTTTGTCTACCTCCTCTACCATCTGTTTTTCCTGAGGTAGCATAGCAAAAACCTCTTAGATTTATGTCATTAATGTACTGCAAATATTTTCCTTTAACAACCCAGTTATTTGTACTGGTGATTTGAGGGCCGCTTGGTAAATTGATCACAGATTACTAGGTTAGTTGACAAGCTTGGCCATTCTGCTTACTTAGCTGGAATGGTAGGGATGCTTTGTAACCTTCCTGTTAAAAAAAATCATATGTGTGCATTTGGAGGTATCAGTGAGAAGCTGACTTCATTTCTCTAGCTAATGTGATACCTACCAGGACCCAGAGCCACACGACCAGCACCTAATCCCAGTCCTCTAACTCAGGGGTTTTTGACAGGAACAATTTTGTCCCCTAGGGGGTAGAAATTGGTTCTTGGGGGCAGGGGTGGCCAAAATATCTTAATCTTTTTATGTATAAAGCACAGTATATGTACGACACATATTTACATATACATTACATTTGTGGCATTAAAATTTCCTGGAGGGACAATTAGGAAAAATTGTCTAAAAAGACTAGTAGGGGTGGGGGTAGGGTGTAGACAAAAATAAAAAAGGTTGAGAAGCACTGTTGTTGCTCAGTCCCAGTGATTTTCAGCCTTTCTCATCTCAGGGCACACATAATTAACTGAAATTCTGCAACAGACCAAAAGATCTATTTTTTGCATATTTGACCAAAAAAATAAGAATAACTTTGATTTATTCACACTGAATGGCTGTTGTCATTTTTTTATTTGATAGTGTAAGGGGAAAGAGGTCAGTGCCCCTGACTAAATAGGTACTGCATGTTCTAAAATTCTTGTGGCACACTGGTTGAAAATTGCTGCTCCATGCAGAAAAAGAATGGATGAGGGCATTGGTATAATTTAAGGAGAGAGAGGGAATGAAAGAGTTACATTAAAGGAGCTCCAGTTTTCTTTATAAAATTAGAATAATTTATCACCAAGTTAAGGAATAACAAAGGTTGGGATTGGAAAGGTTTAGACTGACTCCGATCTAATGGGAATATAGGGTTGGCAGTGGGTCTAAGCCCTCCCTAGTGAGTGGCTGTGTGGGTCTTTCTCTTAGGAAAATAATAAAATTGGTAAAATTGGCTGTGGATCTCCTTAAGGCCTCCTGCTTTTTCCTCTTCCCTGCTGATAAAAACTACGTTTAACTAGCGGTTTAGTGGGAAAGCTTGTTGTAAGTCAGTGTGCACTAAGGTGAGGATGGCCAATGAGAAATTAATGTTTTTCTTTTCAGGAGCACTTGGTGAACAGTGGGCCATCCTCGATGTGAGAGGGTAGTAGGGGCTTAGGTACTCTTGATAGGCTTGATCAGAGGTTCCCACCCGGGGCCTGAAGGAATGATTGCACAGCAAAAACCATCTGCGGACGTAATAGAGTGTCTCACAAATGCATGCACTACTGTTTTAAAAATGTGTGCATGTGCTACTATCATGAATAAAATATAAACTAAAAGTATTACTGATTTTATAACGCTTCATTATCATTATGTATTTTGTCAAGCCACAAGTACTAAAAGTATTGCTACCACCATATGAGAATTCTTATTCTGAAAAGCCTGAGGACTATTGTGTAGCTATATCAGAGGGCCACTCTACTTGAGGTGTGATGGGAATCCCCACACATGGGCCACTGCACACGTGGACCACAGGCAGAGGGGCCCTGCACAGAGCTCCTGGAGTTCCAGGGTTTGGGCAGAAATCCTCTGAATAAAACTTTTGGTACAGAACTGTATTTATGGACTGTTACTACCTTTTTCTTCCCAGGAATCATAGGCAAACATTGCTTTTAAGTGAATCATAGGCAAACATTGCTTTTAAGTGATTTGTCAGAAGCAGTTATGAATGATTCATTGACACTTTAAATCTTTACAATTTTTAAGCTTTTTATCTATTAGAGTATCATTGGAAATATGATAGATGCCAGCATTTCCAGACCTGTCATTCTGCACCTGAGAACTCGTCCTCTGTTTTCGCCTTTTCCATGCTGGCGTGGTGACTGCTGCTTCTGAGTTGACCTTGCAAGCCCATGACATTCTGTCTTTGGATATCTACAGAAATGCTTTTTTGATATTGATACACACATATCTTTTTATATTTAAAATATATTTATTTGGTAGGAATTTATTTTGGTAAGAATAAGATGCTAAAGCCTTAAAACAGTTCTTGTAAAGAAACAATACATGCCCTCTATAATTTTGTTTGCTCCGCACAGATCAGCCATAAAAACACAGCACTGTAAGCCAGGTTGCATTGTAACAAATTCCATTTTTAGCACAGTGCAAATTAATTAAATTTTACTTTAACTTTGCTTACAAAGGGATTATAAGCCACTTAGGAATTTAGCATCTCTTGTGAATCTCATTGCTAGCTGGCCGTTTTTAAGACATGATTTGATCTTGGGCTGCCATGGGAAATTGAAAAGGCCGTGACTTTGTACCATTTGAATTCAGGTTTTATGTTGAGGGATTTATTTAAGATTTGGGGTTTTTCTTCATTATTATTGCTAACTTACAAAGATTTTTAAAAAAAGCTTTATTGAAATCACTGTAGAATAAACTTCAATATTTGAAGCACACACTTGGAAGAGTTTTGACATACATATGCAGCTGTGAAACCACCCCAACAATCAGAGTTTCCTTTTGCTGCTGTGTAACTCCCAGCCCCCTCACAGGTAACCTGGTCTGCTGGTTTGCTTTCTGTCACTATAGATTAGTTCACCTTTTCTAGAATCTTATATAGATTGAACCATACCATCTTTGTTGTCTGGCAATATTAACATATATCCTTTTAGTTCCAGTTCAGACATCATAAGAGATATTCTGGAAGAAGAGGAAGCCTGGGAAGCGTCACATAAGTGAGTTCTCATAATCAAAAAATAGTCATGTACTTTGACCTAAGAAATTATAATTCTGTACAGTTGATTTTTAAACAAAAGAATATTTGTGCTTTCTGATTTAAGAAAGTGATAATTCACACCCATCAAGGTAAAGATTTGAAGTTTACTACTTGTTTCTGTATATTTCTGCTTAGAAATGGAATCCCAGTGTGATAACTCTGAATACTTGTCAGAAGTTGTTTTTCTGAAGACAGGTTATTCCAATAGGCGGTTAATAGTTTGGCCTTGAGCACTGGCTCCAGGGTCTTTAGAAACTTTTAATTCTTTTCTAGATGTTCCTAATCATAAGATGTTTAGTGTAGAATAACTGCAATTCTACTTCTCCTGTACCACCTTTGAATCAGTTTGGGAAATGAAACTGGAGGGGAGGAGGGGACTATTCCAGGTCCCACTGGTGGGTAAGGAGGAAATTAATGGTGCAAAAAAGAGTACGTTTTCATTAGTCTCCAACTGCGGGAGTGGTCTGTAGGGCAACAGGGCAGATTTACTCCACTATAATCTCATGATCACATACCTCAAATGGGCCCTCAGAATTGCCTAGCAGTTGTACTGTTTCTGTGACTTTTTCTTTGTCCTGTTCTTCACAAGGATTATGTGAAAACTCAGTTCACTGTCTCCACCCCGCAGGTGAAGACCTTGTCCTTTATAGAGGAAAGTAGAGGTCATCATATAGGAACCTTCATCTTTTCCAGTATATAAATCTGCCTGTACTTACACATATTTAATCCTTATTTCCTCCTTTTATAGTAAATGTAGGTCCTGGCTCCTATTGGAGGCTCATCCCTCCTTCCTCACTACTGCTCTCTTGTCAGGAACTTTGCTTTGTCCCTCCTCTCTTGTTATAGGCAACCTCTCCCTCTCAACTGTATTTTCTAATTGGGTGTGCTCAAATCTTTCCCATCGTAAAACCAACCAGCCACACAACCAACAGACAAAAACTTCTCACTCGACCTCTCATCTCATTTATTCTCATCCTGCAGCTCCCATTTTGTCTCTCTTTCCTTCCTTTTTTTTTTTTTAAATTGAGTGTATTTGAGTGATATTGGTTAATAAAACCATACAGGTTAATAAAATCATACAGGTTTCAAGTGTACTACTTAGTAAAACATCATCTGCATACTGTATCATGTGCTCACCACCCAAAGTCAAGTCTCTTTCCATTCCTATTTATCCCCCCTTTGCCCTCTTCTCTTGTCCCCCTACCCTCCTTGCCCTCTGGCTGTCACCATACTGTTGTCCATGTCTGTGTATCATAGAGAGAGAGATGATCTCTACTTACAGTCTCCATTCCCTAATCTCCCACTTACTTGCTTTTCAGCATACCCAGCCAGTCTCATCATTCTGACAGCTTTCACTCAAGTTATTGAAGACCTCCATGTTGCTAAATCCAGAGGACATTCTTTAGACCTTTATCTTCCTTGACTTATTAGCAGTGTTTGATACTATTGACTTCTTCACCTTTCTTAAAACCCCCTCTTCTTTGACTTACGAGACACAGTACCCTGTTTTCCTGTTGTTCAAGGTTGATTGTTGATACTGGTCAAGATTGGATTTATCTCCTAAAAAATTTATCTTTCCTACCTACTTGATGCCTCCTCTTAGATATTTCTAAGAAATAGAAATAGAAATAGAAATAGAAATAGAAATATTTCTAAGAAATATCTGACCGTATCTACTTTCCAATGCCCCCTGAAAAAGTTTTTAAAACAAAATAAAAAACATGATCCTTTTCTGATGTTCCTTTTCAGCCAATTTCTTATGCCCTCCCCCAAAACTCATTCTTGACATCTTGTTCTCCAGTGCCTGTATGTTCAATCTATGACCTGTATTATAGATTTTACTTCCTTTTAAAAAATTTATTTATTTTTAGAGAGAGGGGAAGGAATATAGAGAGAGAAACAGCTGATTGGTTGCCTCTCTTATGCACCCCGACTGGGTATTGCAGGACCAAATCTGCAGTCGAGGCATGTGCCCTGACTGGGAATTGAAACCAGTGACCTTTTGCTTTGCAGTGTGATGCCCGACCAACTGAGCTACACTGGTCAGGGCCACATTTTACTTCTTAAATATCTCTGGAATCCATCAGTTCTACCCCTTTCGTCACCCTAATTCATGTTACGATGTGTCTTGACTGTACAATAAATCGTGTCTTAATTTGTCTATCCACATTTTCTGGCTCCTTTACAACCTAATCTCTTTATTGCAGCTAGAGTGACCTTTTCAAAATGAAAGTCTAATCACTGTTACTCATCTCTCCACTTTAAAAGTAGTCAATAGCTTCTTCTTCTTGTTAGGATCGAGAAGGGACTCTTCAGTATACCTAGAGGGTCATCTATGGTCTGGTCTTCTCCAGATTCATGTCTTACTACACACTTATGCATTTTTTTTCTGCTCCAGTGATACAGAGCTCTTAGGTCTTGTCTTCGTGCCACGTTCTCTTCCACCACGGGGCCTTTGGACAGGCTTGACTCTCCACAGAGAGTGGTCTTCTCGTCTTCCCCTAGTTCACCCTTACTCATCTTCACATCCAAACTCGAGATGCACATCTTTTGGACGGCTTCTGTGCCTTGCCCTCTGGATCACATCCTCCTGTTACAGGCCCTTACAGCACCGTGTCCTGTTTCAGCACATTCACGTGACTGTTTGTCCGTCTCCCTGCCATTCTGTAGGTTCAGCATTGTAGCTCCTGTCAACCCAGTTCTACCCCACAGTAAATACTTTACACATGTGACCTCATTTAAATAGCATAACAACACTGTGATGTGTGATTATCCGTGTTTTATAATGTGGTAACTGAAGCTGAATGGGGTAAATCTCCAAGTGATGAGTGATGGAGCTGAGAGTCTAGCCTAATGTGTCAGGTCAGCACTTTCAACCATTAAGCTATATACACTACCTTTCCACAGGAGAGGTATGCTATGTATGCTGTTGACATTTTGTAGTTTCATAGCTGAATCCCTGAGAAAATGGAAAAATGTAGTGTGTCCATGGAGCACAGTATGAGTGGGTTTGTCAGGCTGTTGAAATGTTTGGTGGTTCAAATTAGTGTTCTATGAAAGTTTGAGATTTTTGCTGCGTTACTTTCACCTAAACATTATTTAACTTTGAATTCTGGGAGAGGAGGTCACTCCTTAGCTAATTTTGTCCTCTTGTGTTGGGAATCTTCCTGACCAGTGGCTATGACAAGCTGTAGCCCAGAATTCCTGAGCCGAGTCCATTCTTGAAATGAAGACTTCTTAAAGTCATTACTATAAGGAAACTCTAAGCAAACAAACCCCATCAACTGATAGTAAATGTTAAAGCTGGAAGGATGTAAGTGCTCATCCAGTCCAGTCCCTTTATTTTGTGAAGAAGGAAGCTGAGCTCCATAGAGGTAAATTGACGAGGTCAAGGTCCATGGAATCCAGGACTTCTGATTTCAGCTGAGAGCACAACAGTTTAAATTAGCTTTTACCCAATAAACAAACAAACAAACAAACAACGAAAGAACAAAAGAACGCCATAACGTAGCTTTAGAGACAAAATCAGGAAAAGCCTCCGCAGTTTCACTTTTCAACAAAATGCAGTGGTTCTACGAGCACCTGTCTTATTCATAGGCATATTTTGTGCAACCACACATGACGTATTTGAGATATTAGTTCTAAGACATACATACTATGTCAGTTCCAACACATTCTCCTAATTCCATAAGTGTTTGAGAAGTTCTTCTAGCAATACAGTGCTCGATATAAAGCAGTAATTTCATAAGCAGCAAAACCCACTTATTTTCTACAGAGTGGTTTTGGGTTATGTCTGTAAATACTGATTCGTCATATCATTTTTAGCTATAAGTTGTATGTACATTGAACAGAGTGAAAATGGGGAGAAAAAATGGTCCTGGTTTGTCATTTCATATTTCTAGATTTCAGTTTCTTTGTACATAAAACGTGGGAGTCTAGGTTCCTTCTTTCCAGGCCTGCTCCTCTCCCTCTGTCCCCTTTCTCAGTTAATGGTCGTGTAATAGTCCACCTTACTCCTCAGGCCAGAAACAGTCTAGGAATCATTTTCAACTTTTCACTCTCCCTTATCTCTTATGTGCAGTCAATTGCAAGTCCTGTACAGAAGTGGTTGTCATACTTAAATATATACATCAAAATCAACTAGAAGACTTGATGAAACACAGATTAGTGGCCTCTACCCAATTCTAAAATTTTGATTCAGTAGTTTTGGGGTGCAGCCTGATAGTGTGCATTTTTAACATGCTCCCAGGTATTGCTGGTGCTGCTTCCAGGCCCCCCCCCTTTGAGTATCATCACTATAGATTGCCTCTGTGTCTGTCAGCCCCTTCTGCCACAGCCTCCTTCAGGCCCTTTGCTCTCCTCCAGCTTTTAGCAGCAGCCATCCAACTGTTTTTCTGCCTCTAGTCATTATAGTTTATATTCTGCCGCTGAGATCTAATATACATTATGTTCTCTCTGTCACACTTTAAAGTCCTTCAGGGACTCCATAGCATCCAAGCTCTTCCTGTTATGGCCCTAGCTTACCTGCTGGCGCATGGAATTTCATTCCTTATGTATGAAACCTCTCCACCATTCTGTTGCAGCCAAGCTGAACTACTCACAGTTACCTCCGAGAATCATGCCAGGTTGTCTATGTGCCTTTGCACCTGCTCTTCTGCCCTCATTGCCTTTCCCTTTTCTTCATCTAGACAGTACTTGTCATCCCTTCTTCACAGCTCCACTAGAAGGCCTGCCTGCTCCTGCAGCACTCTGCACTTAATCCCTGACCACCTCTCCAGGGAGCATGCTCTTTGGACCTTGACTCCCAGGCATCTCGCACAGTGCCTGGGTAGCCCACAGTGGGCACTCAGCAAGCATCTGTGGGACTGACTGTCAGTGTTTATTGGATCTGAATGAGCTTGGTATTAGGTTCCAGGCATTAGTGACATGGTTACATGGCTTCAAGAACCTGAGTGGATA